TGTATCAATGTTCGTGTTATTCAACAGTTTTCTTTTACCAATGAATATGTTTTTTGATTCATTCATATCGCTTTCATTGTCGGATAAATTGACATCCCAATCTACTTCTTCCTTTGTTTTTAGTAGATGTCTTCAGCTTCTTCTAACAATATTGCCATTTAAGGTTTTTACATTAAAACTTCGTTGCTGTTTGATCACAATAATTTTTCCTGGTTGCCATTTATTTCCATTATGTATACAAACACAGTCTCCATCGCTTACGTTTTCCAATGTTTTTGCGTTTTTGTCATAATATTTCTTCTGTAAGTTTTAATTACGTTCATTTTTTTCAATAATTTTATAAGCTCCATTCGTGTTTTTACTTCATTTAGTAGTTTGATATCTTTTAAGTCTTATGAAGTTTGTAAGCTAAGAACGAGTTTGCTTGCTGTTTCAACTACATAGAATTTAACCAACTTTTTACGACTTTTGTAGTGACACATCATCTTTGATGTTCCAAGCACTGGAACGTGATTTCCTACAAATCCACGTAGTTTAACATTTGTATAAGTGAGATTATCATGTGATGTTAGTTGGTCGTAGACTCTTTTTGAGATAACATCAACTTCAGCTCCAGTGTCAATTTTTCCACGTACCAATTTATTATTAATTTTAAAGATTATCAAAGCTTCATTTTTACGATTCATTTCACCAGATGATACAGATTCCACATGGTATTCTACAGCGCGATTTTCGTATATGTTTTTCGAGTTGCAGCAAGTTGCCCAATGATTTATTTTATTACATTTAGGCTCGTTTGACCGAATACAGGACAGTTTCTTGGTTCATTGGTTTTATGAATTTCTTTACCACATCAATATCTTTTTCGTATGTAATTTGTTTCATTTCTGCATTTGCAACTTCTTCAGCTCTGCATATGTCAATCGCTTTAGTTAAATTTAAATCCGCTCTTTTTCTAAGTAGATTATTTTAGACTTTGTTTGATTTGATTCCGTCAATTGTTTTGTATAATATCAGACCATCTTGAATGTTTTCTAACTCGCATGTTTGAGCCAGACTTTTTAAATCAGTTACAAAGAAATCAAATGATTCATTGACCTCTTATTTTTGTAAGAAAAACTTTCCAAAACCAGATTTTGTTCCAAAACCAGATTTCTTTTCGGTAAACAATATTCTTCGAATCTTTCAAAAAGTTCTTTTACCGTAATGTCATCGATTTCACCGTTGTCATTTTCTGTTTTGTTCCAAGTCCATGTATTGAATATTTCTCTTCATTTTTTACCGATCACAAATAAGAATGTCGCGTATTTTTCTTCCTCAGATTTATTTGTCATTGCTGTTTTTAGATACAACTGCATAGTTTGTTTCCATTTTTTCCATGTTACTGCTATATTGGATTCATTGAAGTCCATTTCGTTTAGCTTTGGCAAAAAGTGTTCCATTTTCTTTTTCTTTTTTAAAATAAGTACTTTTCCAAAATCTCTTCTTAAAATGTCTTCAGTTCACTTCTGGTACCATGTAATGTTTTGTCTTTATATTCATTATAAAGAGAATTCGACTATGATTTTTATTAAATATTTATTTCAATATTTTCATATTAAATTATCACAACTAGTTTAAATATAAAACTCTGTATAGTTTCACGTTGAAACTTTAACAGTAAATTAATTCAGCGCACTGGCTTTTAAGCGAGAGTTTGCTCGTGCGGAAATCTCTCAAGGGAATACTTTCGTTATAAGTTTTTGTGCAATTCGCAAAAGGGAACTGCTTGTTTTGCAATCGTTAACTGCTATTCTGAATTGTTTTGTGTAACAATCATTACAAATGATTATAATTATATATATTAAAAGGATGCAAATTATACAAATCAGGAAAACAAGATGAAGGAAGCAAACTCCAAACAACTGACATTCTTGAAAAAAAGCAGATTCAATTATGTTTACAATGCTTTTTTGCACCTTATCTAAAAAAAAAAGGGCATCATTGGAAGATTCACCCCAGATATTAAAACCGTATTCCATACAAAGACGAATTTGAGATTTTTAAAGATAAAGAATAGAATCCGGAGTAAGAAAGTGGCAGGCACGATAAAAAGATGCAACCTTAGCAGATACTAATTTTGCAGTTGATTTGATATATGGTTTCATAAAAAGATCGAGTTAATCCTAAAAGATGAAGGATAGATGACTCATCAAATACATAACAATTCATAAATTTAGGAGGATCTAAATTATTGTGATAACGATTGGCTGAAAAAAATTGAGTTTTATCTTAATTAAAGTTTACCAGCCACTGTAAGCCCCATGATGTAGTTGAAGTGAGATCCTTGTCAGACTTAAATGTGTCCTCCAAACAATCCAAGAATATTGGCTTCTTACTGAGACAAAAGTAGATGGTAGTATTATGAGCAAACAATGCTATCTCAGATGTGAGAATATCTGGAAGAACTTAAGGAATCCCTGAAGTTACAGAATATGAAGAAGAATTCTGTCCACCAATAACAGCTTTTATACTACAATTGAAAAGGAAGGATTCAATAATCATAAAAATGTTACCTGATACACCATAAAAAGTAAGCTTATGGAGAAGAACAGCATCCCAAACTTTATAAAAGGTTTTAGAAATGTAAAAAGCAAATGGTCTTAACTTCTCCATCTTTCTCTAATGTACAACAGAACCTATCAGTTAATGCTGTTAGCAAATCAGGTGTAGAACGAGAAGATCGAAATACATATTGATCATCAGAAAGTAAGTTATTAGATTCAAGATGAAAGATTAAGTATTTGTTAATTAAAGATTCAAAAACCTTGCATATGATAGGAAGTGGGCTAATAGAGATAACAGATGTTGCTTTCCAGCATGAAGGAAATGAAGGAAAACAAGACTCTGATAAGCACTTGTTAAATAGTTTTGAAAGTATAGAAAACAGCTCCTTGACAACATCAAAAAGAACGCAACTAGTAGAATCAAGAGATAATATTGATTAAAATTACTTAGCAAATAATTCAGCATTATCATTAGGTGAGGTGACAAAATCTGAACCACATAAGAGAGGTGGAATAATAGATTTGCCCTTATTATTTATATTTGAAGGTTATCTAGAAGTTACGAGAGCCTAATTTTTTTAGATGAAATATAGATAGGAAATAAAAGATTCCGTGCCAGCCTGAATCCAAAAAGTGCAAGGAAGAACAATTTATTAAAATAATAAATTGTTATTTATTATTTTAATAAATTTAATTAAACTCAATGTCTAAAGAATGTAAAAATATAGAAAAGTAAATATGTCAAAAAGTAGTATTTATTCCCTTTCTTCTAATTGGTGGTTTAATTAGAAACAAGCAGTAAAATATTACAAACAATAAATCAAAGGAATGTTATATTTTTACAAAATCTCAACTTTTAAAAAGATTTAAAATCACTATTTTTTTTTTCTCTAAATTAAGTTTATTCTTTAAATTAAGAAATTACTAAATACATTATTCAATTAAATTTAATTAAATCCAGAAACAAGCAGTAAAATATTATAAACAATAAATCAAAGGATTGTTATATTTTTACAAAATCTCAACTTTTAAAAAAATTTAAAATCACTATTTTTTTTTTTTTTTTTTTTTTTCTAAATTAAGTTTATTCTTTAAATTAAGAAATTACTAAATACATTATTCAATTAAATTTAATTAAATCCAGAAACAAGCAGTAAAATATTACAAACAATAAATCAAAGGAATGTTATATTTTTACAAAATCTCAACTTTTAAAAAAAATTAAAATCAATTTTTTTTTTTTTTTTCTAAATTAAGTTTATTCTTTAAATTAAGAAATTACTAAATACATTATTCAATTAAATTTAATTAAACCCAATAAAAATAAAACAAAAAAGCATAACTTCAATTTAAAAAAAAAAAAACTCATTTTAAAAAGAAATGAAGAATTAATAATAAAAATTAAATATATTAATAATATCTTCTTTTTTTTTTTCACAATATGCAAACATTACTATCTAAATTTGTTAAATTCAATGAATAAATTTTGTCTTCACTTTGAATTTGTGTGTTATATTCAAATTCTTTAACAACATTAACTTTTATTGAACAACAAAACCAAGTATTCTTCACAATAATAGCAGAGTTTGTTTTGTTAATTATCTTCCCAAATCACAACTGTCAGATTTCCTTTAGTCACCATTAAATAAACTGAGTGGATGATCACAGCCCTACTTGTGTGCATGAAGAATAATATTGACCCTATTGTACCCTATGGTGTGTACAAATAAAATGCAGAATTGACAAAAAAGAATTTGTCTTGATTTTTATTCTGGTTTAGATCAATAAATGTTTGCTGAAAAATAATATTTTAGAGTATTCCAATACCAGCAAAGCAAATACTTCACTTTTAAAAATTTGAGATATATTTATTTATTATATGTACTGGATATTGAGTGAAACCTACAGCTATATTTTATGAGAGGGGTAAAATAATTTATACTACTTTTTGAATATTTTGCCCTTAAAAAAAGTATCCTGATTAAATAGGATTAGTTAATAATTGATTGGAATTTTGAATATAAATATTTATAAAAAATTCATTTCATCAACTACATTATAAATATAAATTTCATGTGTAATAAGAATTTTCAATAAAATTACACAGTATTTTTAGTATTTGAACATCACTATTTATATTTTAGTATTAGCAACTTAAAAATTTTAAAATTACAGCTTAGAACTTCTTTGAATGTAACTAGTATGTTTGCAGTTTGACTCTCTAGTTCTCTATATCTTATGAAACAAAATGTATATGAAATTAAATGTTTTTTAAAAGAAACATATTTCACAAGTTCAAAAAATCAATTTTATGTTATGTAACAAAGATGTGTGGAATTAACTAAATTTTATTTTCTAAATTTTATTTGTATGTACTTTATGGATGCCCTCTTTTTTAAAACATGCTATTCTATCTTTCAAAATAAAAAAGCACAAAAAAATTGATTAACATACCACAAGCTTTCATAAACTCGTAATTCCTTATGATATTGTTTTGCCTTAAGAGTTCATAAGGAGTTAACGAACTTTCATCGTATATTTCCATGTTGAACTAACTATCTATGACATAAGTTCTGTAAATAAAAAACAATGTATTAATTATAGTCACTTTGCTTTAAATATATTCCAAAGCTCCTGAGAGAAATTAAAAGAAACATAGATGCAGAACTATTTTGCATATATATATATATATATATATATATATATATATATATATATATATATATATATATATATATATATATATATATATACATATATATATATATATATATATATATATATATATATATATATATATATATATATATATATATATATATATATATATATATATATATATATATATTCTAATTTTTATTGCATAAAATTTTTTTTTTTAAATGGAAAATTAAAAAAACAATTTTGTCGCAAATTTTCTTCAAGGTATTTTTAACAAAAAATGATATTTTTTTGTTAAAAATACCTTAAAGAAAAATTTTTTAAACTTTTAAATATGCGCGTTTATTAAACAATCAGTAAATATAAGTTGCTACTTTATTTATAAAACGTTTCACATAATTTTATATTATAAAAATATTAGTAAGGATAAACGATTCAAAGTTATTTATTCAAAAATTTAGATAATCTTATTGTTATAGTTTATTATTGATTTTAGTTATACATATTTATTAATAGAAAAAGTAAGAACCTAATAAATGAAAAAGAAAATAAATTTTTGAAATCCTTTAAAAACATTTGCAATATTTTTTTTAATAAAAATCTTTTCCTGTGTATTAACTTTAATTATGTTTAAAACAAGTTCAATAAAAAAAATACTGTTATTAAAAAAGTGGTTGTTTATAAAATAACATTTTTCTTTAATTATATTATAATAAATATAATGTTATTTACTTCTAAAAAAAATTTCTATTGATTTTCATAATATTTATTTTAAAATTCAGTCAAACCGCTTGCAAAAAAGTTGACAGATCATGAAATCATTATATTGTAATTATTATAAAAAAGACATAATAAAAAACATAAACAATATAAAAGACATTATAAAAATATAAAAGACATTATAAAAAATTTCTTGGCAGTTAACAGTGTGAGCCTTCTTCAATCCACTTAACTCATTTTTGATGATTAAATAAAGATTCAAAATAGTCTTATGAAGTATCTGCATTGAATCTATTTATAATTGGACCTGATAAAACTGTGTGCTAAAACCACAAATAAGCATCTAAAAGCTTTGAATGTAATGTGAATACATTCAAGTGTTTGCAACACTTTTTTGCTATCGGGTGGATTAAGGGATTATGGGACCAGATTTTTCCAGTTTGGACAGGGAAAAATCTGGCCAACTTTAAATTGAGATTTTTCTAAAACCACAAATGCTTTTTAATTATTTTTTTAAATTAAACCTTACTTCCTTATCTAAAATGGTGTTGATAAATTTTTGTTTACAAATTAATGATTTGCAAAATGTTTTGGAAACAAAATGATGCGGTAGTGGTGTAGTGGTAGAGCACTCGCTTCATAAACGAGTGGTTCCGAGTTCGATCCCCACCACGTCCCTGGTAGTACCGCGCTTAACTCGTTTCTCCGCGCAGCGGCCTTGCTTGTCAGGGTTCATGTTTCGGAGTTATAGAGTTGAGAGAGGGTTATAACCACAAATAAGTAGCCTCCTCGTCTGTAGTGGCCTTCTCGGCCTTGAGGAGGTGAATTAAAATAAAATTAAAAAAAAAAAAAAAAAAAAAAAAATCTACAGTCATAGATATTATAAACAAGTTCAATACTACTCAAAGCTTCGAAAAAAAACTTGGAACTAGAAGAAAAAAAACTTTCTTTAAATCCAAAAAAGTAAAGTTGATTTTACGTTCAACAGCAAGAAATCCAAACAGGTCACAGCGAGATCTAGCAAGAAAATTCAAGACTTCTTGTTCTTATATCAAAAAAGTACTTAAAAATGCTGGAATTAATGCATTTCATAAAAAAAATACACCTAAGAGAAACTTAAATTGTGAAATTAAAGAAATTCAATGCGCAAAGAAGTTGGATAAAATAATGGCAGATAAAAATATGTGCATAATTGAAGACAACGAAACGTATTGCAAGGCAGATTTTTCATAACTTCCTGGTCAACTGTTTTACTATGAAAACAAAGATAAACCTGTCAATGATATATTTAAATATATTCGACGAGAAAAATTTGCATCCAAGTTCCTTGTGTGGCAAGCAATTTGTAGCTGTGGTATGCAGTCTTCTTGTTTTGTCACTAAAAAGACTTTGACTGCCTATCTCTACATCAAAGAATGCCTCCAAAAAAGACTTTTGCCTTTAATAAAAAAACATAAACATTGATGTCTCTTTTGGCCAAATCTTGCTGCCTCTTACTACTCTAATAAAGTTCTACAGTGGTGCAAAGATAATAATGTGAAAATTGTTGCTAAAGATGCGAATCCTCCAAATCTTCCTGAAGAGCACAAGATTGAATACTTTTGAGCAATAGTTAAAGGAGTTCTTCCTAAGACAGGTGGAGTAACATATAAAAAAAAGGACTTCCAAAAAAAGTGGATTAATGCTACCAATATTGTGAAAAAAGAAAAAATCTGTGAAATGATGGCATCAACCCGCTATAAAGTTCGATTTCTTGCCAAACAACCCATCAAGCCCCTTAAAATTAATTTCTAAAACTCTAATTTATGTAAACACATTTAATAATAAAAAAAATTGAAATAAAAAGCATTTATGGTTTTAGAGAAATCTCAAATTAAAGTTGACCAGATTTTTCCGTGTCCACCTGATAGAAAAATATTTCAGCCAGAAAAAGCCTTTTGAATTTCTAAATGAAATTTATCATTTAAATTTTCTTCAATTGTGTAATATTATTAAAAATCTATAAAAATTCAAGTCATTTTGGGGCTAAAAAGAAGCAAAATTATAACTTCAAATTGTAATTCAAATTTTAAATTATAGTTTCAAAAATAATAATTGTAATTTATTATAAAATTTCAAAATAAATTAATTATTTTATGTAAAAAGCCATATTTTATGCAATAAAATCTAAAATAATAATTTAAATAAAAAATAACTATTCTTTTTAAACTTTTTATACAACTTTGCTTCATTTAAGACCCAACATGATATGCTTTTGAAGAATTTTTTTTTTATTATTAGGGACCTATCTGATTTTTATTATTAGGGACCTATAATATAATTTATATACTATGTATTTATAGTATTATATATATAACTTTATATATATAGTATTATATATATAGTTATATATATATATATATATATATATATATATATATATATATATATATATATATATATATATATATATATATATATATATATATATATATATATATATATATATATAGTATTATCATTTGGTATATATAATACTATATTTATATCATATATATAAATAAATTAGGCATCGACAGAAGTAAATTAGTGTGAAAGCAGAGAAAAGCTCCCCTAAAACAAACATAGCGAAACATGCGCTCTGCTTCTCCAAGTGGGAGCTTTCAGTTTTTGCATGAACTACCTGTTTATTCATTAAAAAATTGCTTTTTATACTCTTATTATAAGCATATGTTTGTAACATCAATACTTAAAGAATATATACATAACAAGCGTTAATGTGCCGTGAAAAATGTTTTTAGATAAGTGTATTTTTTTTTCCCTCTAGCTATCCATTTATTCATTAACAACTTTATTCTTTTAATGGAAAAATTAATAAACAAAAAGCTATATAAGTTGTTACAGTTTATAAAAAATATTTTATGTTTTCTTAGTGTAATAGAATGAAGAAATATAAAAAATTATTACAACAAAAAAAGGTTACACAATAAAAGTGTTTATATAATTAAAATTTTTTAAAGCAGATTCAATTATGCATTATGTTTTTTTATATTGTTCAAATTGAGATAAATTTAAAAAACTCATTATTTATTTAAAAATGAGTATATAAAATACCATGTACTTTTGGGAACAGGACATTGATAACCACAGTAAAAACTAATGAAAAAATGAACAAAAACCAAGCAAATAAAGATATTATGTGGGGTGATAAAATCAACTAGCTTACTATCAAAAGAAGTAGAATTAGATGGCAAAAAGCGATTAGATGAAATTTTGAAAGTCATTAATACAAATATAAATGTCAAATCAAATAAAATAAAAATGTTATATCAAATGAACTAGATATAAAAACCAGCCAGAAAACACCTAACTGAGCTTCACTTTTAGTGGAGTTTGTAGATGAGAAAATCAGGAATGAGATTTTATCACTTGCTAGAAACCTAATAAATACTAGATTCAAAGACGTGTTTATACATCCAGACCAAACACCAGCCAAACAATTAGAGTTTAATCATCTCCTTAAGCAAAGGAATGAGTATAAAGAAGCTTTAAACATTAATAAATTAAACAATCCATTTCGTTTCAATGCACTGATGTCACTAGGACCCAAAATAAAGATTTAAACAAACACCCGTCATGTTTGCTGGAAAGAGGCAACTGCAGCATGTGAAACTACCAGGCTTGGTCGGGAAGCAGGTGCGATTGCACTCAATAATTGACCATAGAAATAATATTTAGTTGCGTAAAACCGGCCAGATTTATTAGTCGTTTTGAGAACATTTTAAAAACAAACAAAAAAGCGCAATAAGATTAACTAGACCGATGAGAGACAGTTAAAAAAAAAACAGCTTTTAATGCAAAAAAAATTCAAGCAAAATAAATACGATAAGTATTTATTTTGCTTGCAAATATTTTGAAATGTCGCTCTTTTATAATTTTTTTCATAAAATTAAGCAGCATTTTTTTTATAAAAAGTAACAACTTACAATTAATGATTGTTTATAAGGAAACAAATGTTCTTTGATTTACTAAAGAGCAGTCCTTGTGATGAATAAAAACTGCGCGACACATAAGCACGACGTGATTTTTGACATTAAACTCTTTTTATTTGCTTTTCATATTTATCGACATTAACTGCACCAATTTACTTAATTACCGCAAAACTACTTTAAATCATTAATGCAGAAATGTTATTATTTAAAAATGTTTTGGA